CCTTCCGGTTGTATTTCTCAATTTCGTGGAGTGGGTCTCCTCTGTCTGGAAGAAGCCTGTTCCTGTGGGTGCCAGGAGGTTCAACGTTCTCATTGTGGGAGGCGACTGGGGTGAGAGGGGCCTTTTGAGAAGGCTGGTTCCCTCTCACTCTCTGAGCTGGGCCTGTCCTGGGCTCCCCTCACCCCAGGGAGGAGAAACTCAGTGCTCCAGAGTGCATGCTTTACTCCTGATCCGGGTGAGGGGTTTTGAAGGAGGAGGGCTGCCGAGGCTGGAATCCAAGGTGCTCAGTAATCCTTTGTGTTGTGACTGTGGAAGGGCAGCTAGATTCAGGCCTGGTGGTGAGCACTATTCCAGCTGAGGCTCTGGAGCAGGCTGGGCTCAGGCGCTGGGCTGGGGGGGCGGGGCTGCCATCAACTCTGCGCCCCTCAGGTACCTTAGCCGGTAGGTCCTAGGAAAGGGGTGGGGGACGGAGGGGACTGCCTCCTAATGAACAATTAGTGTCTGCTGCGTGGCTAATCATGTGGTTCCGTGTAATTAAGAAGTTAATTAGTGCTGTGTCAATTACGGTTTAATTAGTCTCCTCTTCAGAGAAGCCTGAAAGACCCTCCTGCTGGAAGCTTCTGGAATGAAAGGTGGGGAAGTGGGAGGCAGATGCAAGAGGAGACAGTGCGTGTGGAGGGGGCCCCACTTCCTCTTGCACCCCTCCTAGTTCTGGCATTAGTGACTTGCTGCCCCCAGCCCCACCCAACTGGCCCTGGTCATGAGGACTTTGGGGCCCTGCAAAGCTCTCTTCTACCTCTTGTGGACAGGCCCTCTTAAGCCACTGCAGCCTGTTCTCTGCGCCTGCTTTTGGGTAACTTTCAGTTGCTCCCCTTGTGGAAGGAATGTATGGAAACTGGAACCCAGAGAGATTAAGTAATTCCCTTGAGGACACCCAGCCAGTTAAATGGCAGATCTGGGCCGGATTTGACCTCAGGACCGTCAGACTCTAAGACCCACCATGAAAATCTAAGCCGAGAAAACAATGTGCCTCCTGCAAAGGGCCAAGCACGATCCCCGGGGTCCTTGCCCTCGCTGTTCCCAGTGTTTGGAAGGCACCCCCTGCCCCCAGTAGCTGTGGCTCCTTCCCTTGTTCATTCAGGTCTCTGCCCAAATGTCGCCTCACATCAGAGAGTCCTTCTGTGGTCACCCTGTGTAGAACAGCACCCCCCACACTTCCTGTCGCGTGTTCCCCGGCAGTACTGGTCACAACCTGACATACTGTTTTTATCTTCTTACTGGCTTGTGGTCCCTGAGAATGAAATTTCCATGTGGGTAGGTAGTGACTTTGCTACCCTATCCCCAGTGCCTGGCACTTAGTAGGTGCTCAATAAGTAACTGCTGTCTTACCTGTAATGAGGCTTAAACAAGACGAGGAACTTAGAGTCCTGGGCACAGAGAAGGTGATGGATAAGTGTTTCTTTCTTTCTCCTTCCCTCCTCTGCTCTCCACCAAGCAAGGCTTCCCTTGGGAGTTGTTGGCTCCCAGCCCTGGAGATGAAAGGACCTAAGGTTGGAGGGGGCAAAACAGAGCTTAGTGTTTCGGGTTGAACTTCCAGACCCAGCCTGCCACGGGCCTCTTGTTTCTCCTCCTCCTCCTCCTCCTCCTCCTGCTCCTCCTCCTCCTCCCCCTGCTCCTGCTCCTGCTCCTCCTGCTCCTGCTCCTCCTCCTCCTCCTGCTCCTGCTCCTCCTCCTGCTCCTGCTCCTGCTCCTCCTCCTCCTCCTGCTCCTGCTCCTGCTCCTGCTCCTGCTCCTTCTCCTGCTCCTTCTCCTCCTCCTCCTTCTTTGATATGGAATCTCCCCCTGTAGCTAGGCCGAAGTGCAATGGCACGATCTTGGCTTACTGGAATCTCTGCCTCCTGGGTTCAAGCAATTCTCCTGCCTCAGTTTCCCGAGTAGCTGGAATTACAGGCAAAAGCCACCATGCCCAGCTAATTTTTTGTATCTTTAGTAGAGTTGAGTTTTCACCATGTTGGTCAGGCTGGTCTCGAACTCCTGTGATCTACCTGCCTCAGCCTCCCAAAGTGCTGGGATTACAGGCATGAGCCACTGCGCTGGGACTGCTACATTCTTGTTTCTCCTCTGCCTTGATCTGCGCACCTGCCCCTTCCTTGATTACTCAGCCATGACCTGGTCAGGTGGCTGGGTACAGAGCATGCTGGTCACCCTCCTGCAGTCTGAGATTGTGTTGGAGTTTGGGACCCCACCTGCTGGGGTGTCACCGAAGCAGGCATTTGAGACAACATTGTCTCAGTGGCTTTTTCTCTTACCCTTTGGCTCCCAGCCTTTGTCTCCATAAGGCCCTCCTGCTCAGGAGCCTTGTTTTGCTCTCATCACACGGGGGACTCCTCCTCTCACAGGGCAGCGTCATTTACTGTTGGGGTCCAGGGCTCTCCTGGGGTCTGGCAGAAACCACTTTCCTCACAGTGCACAGAATTCTCATGCCCTGTTTTGTAATTTTTAACAGATCTCAGATATAATTTGCTGGGCATGGTGGCTTACGCCTGCAATCCTAGGACTTTGAGAGGCCAAGGCGGGTGGATTGCCTGAGATCAAGAGTTCGAGACCAGCCTGACCAACATGATGAAGCCCCATCTCTACTAAAAATACAGAAATTAGCTGGGCGCGATGGCAAGTGCCTGTAATCCCAGCTATTCGGAAAGCTGAGGCAGGAGAATTGCTTGAACCCAGGTGGGGGTTTCAGTGAGCCCAGATGGCAGCATTGCACTCCAGCCTGGGCAGCAAGAATGAAACTCCATATTGAAAAAAAAAAAAGATATAATTACCACCTCATAAAGTTCGCCCATTTTGGGTGTGTATGATGCAATGGTTTTTAGTATATTTACAGAGTTTTAGAACATTTGCATCATGCCCAAATGGAACCCTGTGCCCATTCGCAATCACTCCCTATTCCACCCCACCCTTACCCCTGCCCTAGGCAACCGTGAATCTGCTTTCTGTCTCTAAAGAGTTGCCTATAATCAATATAACTCATATAAATGGAATCATACAATATGTGATCTTTTGTAACTGGCTTCCTTTATTTAGCATAATGTTTTCTATATTCTTTTTTTTTTTTTTTTACACAGAGTTTCTCTCTTGTTGCCTAGACTGGAGTGCAATGATGTGATCTTGGTTTACCACAACCTTCGCCTCCTGGGTTCAAGAGATTCTCCTGCCTCAGCCTCCCCAGTAGCTGGGACTACTGGCACCTGTCACCACACCCAGCTAATTTTTGTGTTTTTAGTAGAGATGGGGTTTCACCATGTTGGCCAGGCTGGTCTCAAACCCCTGACCTCGTGATCCACCCACCTCAGCCTCTCAAAGTGCTGGGATTACAGGCGTGCGACACCCCACCCAGCCTTCCCTACTCTTTTTACCACTCCCTTCCTCCATGATAGACATCATTGAAGGTAAGACTTTCAAGCACATCTTGGATAATTTCTTTAGGACATGACTAAGAGAAAGATGAGGCGTTTGGTTTGATCTTCTGCTAACCTCCTCTGCCCTTGCTGTCTAATCAGAGTTGCCTGGGATCATTGCTGCCCCGTTCCCTAGTGTTTCCGGCGCTGAAGCCCACAATCCTTGGTGGTCCCTCTGGGTGTGTCGCATCCCCAGCCCGGCCATTGGCTGCTTCTCTGAGTTCCCCCAATCATTCAGCTGGACGAGGCACCTCCCCCGTCCAGGGTTGCCCATCTGTGACCTTCTGTTGGATTTTCCTCTGACCTCCAGATTTCCCCGACCAAACACCAGCTGCTCCATGAAACTTTTCCTGATTCCCTCCGCTCAGAGATGTGTTTCCAACTTCAGAGCAACAAAGGAAGAAGGAGGCTGGTGGAGATTTTGTCTCCTTCCTGGCCTCCTGCCGGGTGTGGGCAGGATGGCATTGCTGGGCCATGGCAGCATGTGGTCAGCGAGGGTGGTGCAGCGAGCCCCATAAACTCTGAATGGAAGGAGGCACTCAACACCGTCACTCTGGCCCAGAGCCATCCTTGCACTTCAACAGTCATTTCTAAGCATTTTCTGAATGTCAGGCCCTGACCTAGGTCAGGAGACAGAGAGATGAGTAAGACTAACCCTTGCTGTAGTTTAGCAAACAGCCTCTTAGGAAGCAACGTGGGGAGTGCCTGGGGATCCTGGGAATGCAAAGGAGAAGCCCTCAGCACCACCTCCAAGGTGGGCACTACTGGTGGTGATTGGCACGAGCCTTCGTCTCTCTCCTCCTATCCCCCCAACCCCAAAGGGGTAGCAGGAAGATCCACCAGGGGAGGGGAAGCAGAGAGATTTAGCTTGAGGAGGGAGGAAATGAAATGGAGAACAGAGATAATTGTTCCCATTTGGCAACTTTTTCTAATTAGGGACCAGTTATGTCCTTGGGTACCTAATTGGGGACCTAGTAGATTCTCTAATTTGCTAGGTAATTACTGGCCAGTAGTTCTACCAGCATGAAATTTGGGGAAGAAATATGTATCACAACATTTGGATTTTCTCTGTTTCAGACACTTTGCCCAGAAAACAAGCTGGGTGCTCTGAGCTCTCTTTTGCTTCTGTCAACACCGCTTCCCCCACCCTGCCGCCTGTCCCTTCTCAGGCTTCCAGTGGGCTGTGTGCCCTTCCTGGTCGCTGAGCTCCAGGAGCTGGCAATCTAGATGGAAACTATCAGCCAACACCACAAAGATATGGGGACATCTGTGTTTTTGCCTCCTTCGAATTCATCCAGCTTTCGGTAACAAGGAATTACTAGGTATGGGCAACTCTTCTAGGTAACACACACACACACACACAGGCACAGACAGCTTTATTAAATTCCACCGCACACTGATATGGACATCGTTATTAATTCCATTTTACAGGTGAGAGAACTGAGGTACTAAGAGGTCAAGTTAAATATAGGAATTTACCCTAAAGAAATTGTCCAAGATGTGCTTGAAGGCTTTATGTTCAAGGATGTCCATCATGGTGTCATTTATAAAGTCCAACACAATTGGAGCTGGGGCAGATAGTCCGACCTTGAGTGCTCACATGCTATTCGATGTTGTACTTTACCATGAAATTGCTCTGCCTCAGTTTTCCTCTGTGAAATCCTTCCTAACAACAATGTAATACCACCTTACTCCTGCAAGAATGGCCATTATCAAAAAATCAAAAAATAATCAATGTTGGCATGGATGTGGTGAAAAGGGAACACTTTTACACTGCTTTGGGGAATGTAAACTAGTACAGCCACTATAGAAATTCCTTAAAGAACTAAAAGTAGATCTACCATTTGATCCAGCCATCCCACTCCTAGGTATCTACCCAGAGGAAAAGAAGTCACTATATAAAAGAGATACTTGCACACATGTTTATAGCAGCACAATTCCCAGTTGCAAAAATGTGGAACCAACCCAAATGCCCATCAATCAATGAGTGGATAAAGAAACTGTGGCATGTGTGCTAATGTTATGGAGTGACAACAAAAAAGAAACTGTGGCATATGTGTGTGTGTGTATACATATCATATACACATACACATATACACATACACATATACACACACATACACAAGCACACACACGTACACACACAAATACACACGCACGTGCACACATATACACACATACACACACACATATACATACACACGTACACACATACACACCTATATACACACACATGATGGAATACTACTCATCCATAAAAAGGAATAAATCAATGGCATTTGCAGCAACCTGGATGGGATTAGAGGCTATTATACTTTTTGTTTGTTTGTTTGTTTTTTCAAAGATGGGGTTTCACCATATTGGTCAGGCTGATCTCGAACTCCTGACCTCAGGTGATCCACCCACCTCAGCCTCCCAAAGTGCTGGGATTACAGGCGTGAGCCACCGCGCCCGGCTAGAAGCTATTATTCAAAGTGAAGTAACTTAGGAATGGAAAACCGAACACTGTATGTTCTCACTTGTACATGTGAGCTAAGCTATGAGGATGTAAAAGCATAAGAATGATACAATGGACTTTGGAGACTCCGGGGATGAAAGATGAAAAACTACAAATTGGTTCAGTGTATACTGCTCAGGTAAGGGGTGCACCAAAATCTCACAAATCACCACTAAAGAATTTACTCATGTAACCAAATACCACTTGTTCTCCAAAAACCTATGGTAATAAAATTAAAAAAAAAAAAAAGAACTTAAAAACAAGCTATGCAAAAAGAAAGAAAAAAGTCTACTTCATAAAAAATAAAGTGGCTTTATTGAGCTATAAAGTCATTTATTACACATATTTAAGTATACAATTTGATAAGATTTGATATACGTATCCACCCACGAAGCCATCACCACAGTCAAGATGGTGAACGCATCCATCACCTTCAAAAGGTTCACTGTGATCCTTTGTGATCCCTCCCTTATGTTTATCCCCACCCTACCTCCAATCCCAGGCAACCACTGATGTGCTTTCTGTGCAATAGATTAGTTTGTGCTGTTTAGAATCTCACAAAACTGGAATCATCAAGAATGCACCTACTTTTCCTATGGCCTCCTTCAGTAGGAATAATTAGTTTCATCTGTTAATCTAATGAGATGCATAACTGAGACACACTGATATTGTTGCGTGCATCAGTATTTCTTTCCCTTTTAATGGCTGAGTAATATTCCATTGTATGGATATACCACAATTTGTTTATTCATTCAAATTTTATGGACATTGGGTTGTTTAGAAGTTTGACTATTGTGAATAACACTGCTATGAAAATTTGTCTACAAATATTTGCAGGGACAAATGCTTTCATTTCTCTTCGGTAAATATCTAGGAGTAGGATGGCTGGGTCATGAGGTGGGTGTAATTTCAACTTTTTAAGAAGTTGCCAAAATGTTTTCAAAGCCATGGTATCATTTTACATTCCTACTAGCAATATATGAGAATTCTAATTCTTCACAGCCTCAATAATATTTGGTGTGGTCAGTTTTTAATTTTGGCCATTCTAATAGGTATATGATGATATCTCATGGTGGGTTTAATTTTAATTTCCCTAATAACTAATGACGTCGAATATCTTCTCATATTTTTTTTGCCATCTGTATTTTTTCTTTGGTGAAGTGTTTAAATCTTTTGCCAGTTTTTGTTGGGTTGCTTGTTTTCTTTATTGAAGTTTGAGAGTTCTTAATGCATTTTGATACAAATCTTTTATCAGATAGCAAATCCTTTACCACTTTCCTGGTACAGAGTTTAGGGAGCCTCTCCATTCACCTCCCAGAGAAACTAATGCCAAGAGAAGGGAACACGTCGGTCAGTAGGTTTCTAGCTACACGTAGTAGAAAACCCAACTAAAGTGGCTTAAGAATGATTCTATAACAGGACATTCAGAGATAGTGTGGTTCCAGGGTTTATTAATTCAGGGGTGAAGATATCATAAGGAACAGATAGTTTTCTTATTTCCAGACTGGCTCCCTTCAATAGGCCGAATGTAGCACTTTTTTTTTTTTTAATTATTCATTCAAACTTTGGCCAGGCACAGTGGCTCATACCTGGAATCCCAGCACTTTGGGAGGTCAAGGTGGGCGGATCAGGAGGTCAGGAGTTCGAGACCAGCCTGACCAACATGGTAAAACCCCATTTCTACTAAAAATAAAAAAATTAGCCAGGCATGGTGGTGCATGCCTGTAATCCCAGCTACTCAGAAGGGTGAGGCAGGTGAATCGCTTGAACCTGGGAGGCAGAGGTTGTGGTGAGCCAAGTTTGCACCGTTGCACTGGGCCACAGAGCGAGACTCCGTCTCAAAAAAAAAAAAAAAATTATTGAGCAGCAAAGGAGATACAAAGGTGATTTAAAACATGGTCAGGGTGAGGCAAATACACAAGTAATAGAAAGCAAAGGGCAAGGTTCACTGAATCACAGCAGTCAGAAGAAAGTGCTTTAGAGAACCAAGAGTGAGATTGTTAGATTGTTTCCAGTCTGAAGAGGCATGGATGGCAAATCAAAAAGGGGATTGAGATTAAAATAGAAGACTTCAGTCTGGATTGTTGATGACACTCAGTATGGACTATATTTATCTCTCCTTTTCCTTTCTCCACATCTTTGGGCTTAATTTACCAGTAGTGCCCAGGATTGTTCAATCCGCTTGGATTGTTCAATGCGCTTTTTCTATACTTGCTTGCATTTTTGCTTTAATGCCTTCTACAGAACCAGGTCGGTTCTTTTGGTGTTTTAGGAGTTTTTTCCTTTTTTTTTTTTTTTTGATTCCTGTTCTTTTGATCTTGGTTGATAATGGTTTTTAGTCTTTTCCATTTTGGTTTGACTTTTGTACATTTTTGGCTGGGTTATCTCACATACATTTCTTCACTGGTGCTTTTTCTTCAGTTTCCTCCTCATCAAAATCATCATCATCATCATCTTCATCTTCATCAGCAGCAAGTTTTACTTTTTCTGTGGAACGCTGCCACCACCTCCAGGGGCAGACTGTTTTCCAGATATGCTTAAGAGTTTCCCATCTTCCTCCTCTTCATCTTCTGATTCTGCATCTTCCCCCACAGCTACTAAGTGCTGTCCACTAATATGCACTGGCCCTGAACCACACTTCAACCTGAGACCACTGGTGGTGTTATGTCAAATCCCCCAAGGGAAACCGTTGACTCTAAAGACATTTTCAAAAGGGCTAGTGTTACTTTAATTGGACTGCATTCGTAATTCATTGCCTCTGCTTCAACAATGTGCAATTCATCCTTTGCACTAGCCCCTAAACTGGCCGTGCTTAAAGATAACTGGTGCTCATTTTCATCATTATCTACCTTAAAGTGATCATCTTTGTCGGCCTTTAGTTCACAATCGAAAAGATAGCTCTGGGGCCTCAGGGGGTGCATGTCCACATCTGTGGAATCTTCCATTGGGTGGTGGCACGCACTTAGGTGGGAGATAAGGCGGACAGAGATATGTGACCACTGCTCAAGAGAACAGCGGCACTGGTCGGAATCATGTCAGGCCAGCCCTTTTTTTAATAATCAGAAAATTATAAAATAATTTTCAAATATTTTATACCAGCCTGTGACTTGTTTTTCATTCTCTTAACAGTGTCTTTTGGAGAACAGAAGTTCTTAATTCTGATAAAGTTGAATACAACAGTTCTTAAAAACAATCTGTGCTTTTGTTGTTCCATCTAAGAAATATGTAGCAAACCCAAAGTCATAAATATTTTTCTCCTTTGTTTCTTCTGAAAGTTTTATTGTTTTAGGTTTTACACTTGGGCCTATGGTCCATTTTAAGTTATTTTTGCTTATGGTGCAAAGTATTGTTCCTTCTTTTTTTTTTTTTTTTTTTTTTTTTTTTTTTTTTTGCTGATGGATAGCCAATTGTTCTAGCACCATTTGTTGAAAAGATGATCTTGCTCCATTAAATCATATTGTCACCTTTGTTGAAAATAAATTGATCACGGCCAGGTGCGGTGGCTCATGCCTGTAATCCCAGCACTTTGGGAGGCTGAGGTGGGTGTTATCACTTGGGGTCGAGAGTTCAAGACCAGCTTGGCCAACATGGCAAAACCCCGTCTCTACTAAAAATACAAAAAAATTAGCCAGGCATGGTGGCATGCACCTGTAGTCCCAGCCACTTGGGAGGCTGAGGCAGGAGAACAGCTTGAACCTGGGAGGAAGAGGTTGTAGTGAGCCAAGATTGCACCACTGCACTCCAGCCTGGGCAACAGAGCGAGACTCTGTCTCAAAATAATAACAATAATAATAAAAGAAAATAAATTGATCATATATGAGTGGGTCCATTGCTGGACTTTCTATTGTGCAAATCTATTTGTCTGTCTTGCTTACTGTAGCTTTATAAATCAGGCAGTGTTGGAAATAGATGCTCAGTGCTGTAAAGAAAAATTTGCACTGAGACAGAGGATCTTTCAGCAATGCCATTATTACTTCCTGGACTGCAGGAAGGGTACCCTCACTAGTCATCGTGCCACAAGAGTACAATGAACAAAGGAAAACAGTCAAATTTATCCCTTACATATTTGGGAGTTGTCCTTTCTGCTGTGTCTGATCTCCATTGGCTGGAGCCAGACCTCACAATTTAAACTAAAACTCGATTGGCTAACAACTTAAAACTTTTCTAAACAGGTAAAAGCAGTGGGGAGCGGGGACATGCCTGTGAGCACGTCCAGCACAGATATCTTGATTAAAGTACAAAGACACAGAATGTACTACGTGCCTATAAGCATGGCATGTCTAACAGCTACATAAGATAGGACTTAACAAAGTTATTAGCATGCTTACTCTTTAACAAGAAAGGAAACTTAAAAAAAAAAAAAAAACTTTTCTACTTCCCACAGGCAGTATTAAGTCTTCCAGACTTATTTTTTAAAGTCTTTTGGCTCTTTTAGGTCCTTTTTCTCACCGTATATATTTTAGAATCAGCTTATTGCTTTCCACACAAAATCCTGCTGGATTCTGACTGGGATTGCACTGAATCTATAGATCAATTTTGGAGAGAATTGACATTTTCACAATATTGATTTTTTTGATTAATAAACACAGTATATATTTCCATTTCTTAATTCCTCTTGGCAATATATTTTAATTTTCCAGTGTACCCAGTCTTACACATTTTCTGTCAGATTTATTCCTAAGTATTTAATAGTGTTTGATGCTCTTGTAAATGTTTTTACAGGTAATTTTGGATTGACTAGCAGTTTATGCATTTTTATTGATTTTTCTCAAAGAATAGGCTTTTGGTTTCATTCATTTGGTTTATTGTTAGTCTGTTTTCTGTCTCATTGATTTCTGCTCTGTTCTTTAATATTTGTTTTTCTGCTTTTGGGGGTGTTTATTTGTTTTTCTTTTTCTAGTTTTGTCAGATAGAAGTTTTGATCATTGATTTGAAATCTTTTTTTTTTTCTAATAAAGTCATTGCCTGGTACAAATTTCCCTCTACTGTTTTAGCTGCAACCTACAAGAAAAAAAATTTTTTTTTGAGACAAAGCCTGGCTCTGTTGCCCAGGCTGGAGTGCAATGGCACAATCTCGGCTCACTGCAATCTCCACCTCCCAGGTTCAAGCGATCCTCGTGCCTTAGCCTCCCAAGTAGCTGGGAAGGTACATGCCACCACACCCAGATAATTTTTGTATTTTTAGTAGAGACACGGTTTTACCTTGTTGGCCAGGATGGTTTCGAACTCCTGACATCAAGTGATCCGCCAGCGTCAGGTTCCCAAAGTGTTGGGATTACAGGCATGAGCCACTGCACCCAGTCGCAACCTACAAATTTTGATATGCGGTTCTTTGCTTTCATTTTCATTCTGCTCAAAATATTTCCTGGTGTGTGGCGGTGGTGGGGGTAGAAAGCCATGAAAGGGCCTCCCTCCCCCAACTCTGCGCTGGCTCCCTGGGCTGCCCCTCCTTTGCAGGCCCCCCCCTTTCTCCCTCCCTTCCCTGCAGCTGGATGCTGGGGCTCTGACAGCAACCCTGCTGGCCCAGGCTGGATCTGGAGACTACAGAACTACAGGGTAATCCAAGCTGGGAGTGTGTATGGTAAGGGAGTGTGTATGATGGGGCTAAAGTGGGACTTCCGGGAATGTGCAGACACTGTAGTCACTCAGGGGCTCTGAGCTTCCAGAACTGGGATGTCAGCAGGCTGCATGAAAATGACTCCGGTGGCCTTCACGCTTTGCAAGGCAGAGGATCTGATGAGGCCCTGTCTTAGTCCGTTTGGGCTGCTGTAACAAATGAGTGGCTTATAAACAACAAAAATTTATTCCTTACAGTTCTGGAGGCTGGAAGTCTGAGGTCAACTGTCAGCATAGCCAGGTTCTGGTGAGGACTCTTTTCCCAGTTGCAGACAGCTATCTCTCACTGTATCCTCATATGGTGGAAAGCAGAAAGCTTGCTCTTTCCTCTTCTTATGTGTGTATGTATGTGTTTATTTATTTAGAGATGGAGTTTTGTTCTTTTTGCCCAGGCTGGAGTGCAGTGGCATGATCTTGGCTCACCGCAACCTCCGTCTCCTGGGTTCAAGCGATTCTCCTGCCTCAGCCTCCTGAGTAGCTGGGATTACAAGCATGTGCCACCACGCCCTGCTAATTTTGTATTTTTAGTGGAGACAGAGTTTCACCATGTTGGTCAGGCTGGTCTCCAACTCCTGACCTCAGGTGATCTGGCCGCCTCGGCCTCCCAAAGTGCTGGAATACAGGCATGAGCCACTGCGACCGGCCCATCTTTCCTCTTCTTATAAGGACACTCACCCCATGATAGTGATTCACCTTCATGACCTAATTACCTCTCGAAGGCCCCACCTCCTAATACCATCCTATGATGGCTTAGCATGTCAACATATGAATTTTGAGGGGACACAAACATGTCCACCGCAGGTCAGTTGGCCATTGTATCTGTCATTTGCCTATGTGTCCTCAGACCCATGCCTCGCCCTTCCTCTGCTCTGCACCAGAGGAATGATGGCCCTTACAGCCTCTGTTTCTCAGGCTCCTATTTCAGTTGGCTTCCATCTGGGTTCAGCCAGTGAAGCCACTGGAGTGAGTTCACAAGCTAGAAGGAAGGGAGAAGCCAGGGCCTTTGTCTCCCTTTCTCTGCCTTGGGTGGTCTCTCCAGAAGCAGCTGTCTGCTCTGCTGCTCCAGCTCCCACAGTCTGCACCCCACAGTTATGGCTTCTGCTAGGCAGCACTCCCACCCCGTGGTTTTAGCTCTTTGTACATGGTCCTGGCTTCTGGGCTGCAGTAACACCTAACACTACCTCCTCCTATTTTCTCTCTATTCCTTGCTGGTATTGCTAGTCTCTGGGGCGCCTCATCATACCATTGGCATCTTGGTTCTTCCATCATCCGTGTAACCCACTCCCCGGTTAACAACCTCCCCCACCCATACACGCACAATTTGGAATACTCTGAATTGTCCTAATGGGGTGCATCTGATAGATTCATCATCCAAAATGGAACACCCTGTTTGGCTAGAGTTTTAGGGCAAGATCCCCAAGAGGTAGAAGGCCTCCTTTATGGCTCTGCCACCCATCTGCAGTCCAAGTTCAAGGTATTGTCAAGTTCAGGGGTGCCACATCGTCCCACTTCAAGGGGCACCATTCACATAGAAGTGAAGCCCTTCTCTGGGTAGCAGGGTTGGTTTCACTCAGTATATTGGCAAGATGCAAGGCAGCGTTTAGTAGAAAGAATCACTTGGGGCCAGGTACGGTGGCTCACACCTATAATCCCAGCACTTTGGGAGGCTGAGGCAGGCAGATCATGAGGTCAGGAGTTTGAGACCAGCCTGGCCAACATGGTGAAACCCCGTCTCTACTAAAAATACAAAAATTAGCCAGGCGTGATGGCAGGCGCCTGTAATCCCAGCTACCTGGGAGTCTGAGGCTGGAGAATTGCTTGAACCCAGGAGGCAGAGATTGCAGTGAGCCAAGGTCGCGCCATTGCACTCCAGCCTGGGGGATAAGGGAAAAACTCTGCCTCAAAAAAAAAAAAATCTGTCTTTGGGGGACTGAGATGTGTCTTGAGCATCTGTTTTTGGTTTGTCCTCCCAGTGCCTCCCTGCTTCTTCTGGAACAGTACACACCACTCCTTGGGAACTGCTCCTCTTCCCCTCCATGTGGTTCTGATGAAGCTATCAATTACCAAAGCTCTTTCTCCAACAGGGGTAAAAAGATGACCCAGGCTTGACCAATCAAGGTATCCAGTGCAACACTGATTCATCCTGAGGATGGACATATGATCCCAGAGAGCCATCCAGCATCCTGTCCTGGGACTAAGAAACTATGCAAAGGGTCCTTTCTCTCACCGGGGTTGTCAATATCTCTGGCTTCTGTTCACCTTGCTTTCTCCCCATCCATCAATGTAGAGAAAATCTATCTTCAATAGGAGATATTGAGGCCATCGCACAGGGAGTCTCAGAGTTGAGACAGAAGGAAGAAGACAGCAAAAGAATCCCAGTGGCACTGGGTCCCCAGCTCCCATCCTGATTCCTGAAGCTCTTTCTTTAATTTTACAAATACCAGAGTGTTCCTTCTGGCCATGAGAGCCAATAAATTCCTTTTGTACTTAAGTTGGTTTGCACAGGATTTCTGTCACTAACACGGTAGACACAGAGCTCTCTGAATTCCTTTTACCAGGAAAGTGAGACTTTAGGGCAACCCCTCCATTCATCTCAGAGAGAAGCTAATGCCAAGAGAAGGGAGCACATCGGTATGTTTCTAGCTACAAAGAGTAGAAAACCCAATTAAAGTGGCTTAAGAATGATTCTATAACAGGAAGTTGACAGGTAGTATGGCTCCAGGGTTGGCTAATTCAGGGGCGAAGATGTCATTAGGAGTAGATAGTTCTCTTCTTTCCACTCTGGAGTCCTTGAAAGCTTGTCTTGACCTCCCAGACCGGCTCCCTTCAATAGGTCCAAGGTGGCTCGTTTTGTCTGGGTTACGTAGGGCAGAAATGGGAATGTCCCTGTCTGATGTCCTAGAAGCCTCTGGAGACTTTTACTCTCATGTTCCATTGGCCAGGATGGTTTCACATGCTCATTCCTAAACCAGCCACTGACAGTGGGGATGAGACCACCACGGTTGGCTTACTGCAATCATGATTCATCCCCTGGAGCTGGGGTCTACTCTCTTCGAATCTCATAGATGCTAGGAGAAGAGTAAACTAAATCAGGGGCTGATTGAAAAAAGAAAAAAGGAAGAAGGTGCGGCACAGGGGTTCATACCTGTAATTCCAGCACTGTGGGAGGCTGAGATGGGAGGATCACTTGAGCCCAGGAGTTCAAGAACAGCCTGGACAACATAGTGAGACTCCATCTCTACAAGATATAAACAATCAGCTGGGTGTTATGGTTCATGGCTTAGTTTCAGCTACTTGGGAGGCTGAGGTGGGAGGATCACTTGCACCTACAGGGTTGAGGCTGCAGGATCGCTGTGGTCCATCCTGAGCAACAGAGAGAGATTTTGTCTCAAAAAAAAAAAAAAAAAAAAAAAAAAAAGGAAAAAAGGAAGAGGTGAATGGCTGTTGGGTAGGGTAGTTGAGACAACTAGCTGTCCCCTAATATCTAGTCTTTCTTTCTTTTTGAGACGGAGTCTCACTCTGTTTCCCAGGCTGGAGTGCAGTGGCATGATCTCAGCTGCTCACCACAACCTCCGCCTCCTGGGTTCAAGCGATGCTCCTGCCTCAGCCTCCTCAGTAGCTGGGATTACAGGTGCG